GTCAAAATAAACCCAGATTTCAGTCCATTAACCCAGATACATAGCTTATATAAGGGGGGAAAAGGCTTTAGGTTAAAAAAATAGAATTTTTTTGTTATTCTACAATTTTAAAAAAAAAGTTAATTAATTTTCAACTTCAATAAGCAATTTTCAGAATACTCCAACATTGAAAATAACATTGCTTTCAGCGTGTGCAGTAGGCCAGATTTTAATGACAACACATGTAATGTAGCCTACGATGTAGGTGGCCTACTTAGATCTAATCTCAGTACTCAGTATAATAACACAGTATGCGATCATTGTTAAGAACCAAATGAGCCAAGAACCCAGATCTACTCAAATTTCCCTTGTACCTTCCCAGAACCCAGGACCCAAGTCGAAATACCCAGATCTGGGTTAAAAAACCCAGGAGTGGCAACCCTGGTAGATCTATGCATCGCGAGCTTAAAGGGATCGGCAATAGGCGTCCTCTATGCGGAGTCGAGCAGACGCCGACTGGCGCCTGTCGGCGTCCATTTTCAGCCGCTGAAGTTTTGATGTTATCGCCCGGCTAGGCCCAGGCCTAGGTTTTGCACGTTATTTTCGGTAAAGTGGGGATAACTGAGGTCAAAGTGTGCGATGAACGAACGGAGGACATGTGACCTTCTAATCAACCAATCAGGTGCAACTTGTATTGCCGCCATCTTTATTGGCAAATGGAAGACAAAATGTCTCGACGTAAAGTGAATGGATAGGCATTGTCACAAATTTAGTTACTGACCAGTTTAGATTTTGTATTCTTTATGATGGCATCTGAAGGTGGTGGCAAGATACGACCTAAACGCAATCAGGGTGGAAGTAAACCGTATGATCGGAAGTCGGTAAGGAAATAATATCATGACTTCATCCCTGCTATACTACTCTTCACTCGTCTATAGCTTGAACCTCCACGTGAGGTGTATTAGAGTCTAGAATCTAGATCTAGATCTAGAGTCTAGATATCTAGATCTAGAATCTAGATTTCTAGATCTAATTTCTAGTTCTGGATCTAGATTCTAGATCTAGACTCTAGATTTAGATATCTAGTCTAGATATATCTAGATCTAATCTAGATCTAGATCTAGAATCTAGATTCTAGAGTAGATCTACATCCTGTGGCCTGTGGTGCGATACAGTAAGCGATCTTTTGTGGATATCTCTGGAAGTTACTACTGGTCGATCTTCATGATTTTTTCACCAGAAGTTAGAAAAACTTCTCCTCTACATACGGTGTAGCGCATTACTGTAACAGCAGTTTAAAATTTCGGCGCTTTTTCGGTAGTTCCCACCCCGCATTTGTTATTCGCCAGTTTTGGCCCCAAGACCAAGAGTAGGGGGGTTTCA